CAATAAATGACTGAAACTTTTGAATAATCCAAGTTTTTCGAATGGTATATAAGTAAAATATTGAAAGTAAGTGTCCATTGTCTCTTAAAGCTCGAAGTACATTGTGTCAGATCGAGCATCTCGAAAACTGTGGAGTTTATCGGTTCAGGACACGCTATAATTTTGACTGAAATTTGTTCTCATGCACATCTCAATATATTCTCAAATAAGATTTGCGTTTCAAAAGATTGTATCGTGAAAATTAAACTTTTCGATACTGTTTCTAACATGCCTGATGCAGTTGGGACACAACAACAAAAGAGCAAATGTTCAGATTTATATGACAAAAGCTCTAACAGCTTCTAATAATTACAAAAGACATTCGTATTCGATATACATGTTTTAAAAAATTATTATTTTTAAATCATTCTAAACATATAAATCCCAAACTTATCTACAGCAAACAATAAGTGAACGAAAATATTGCCTGTTTCATCGCTAAAAACAACACTCAATTGTAAACCTTTATTTCATCAGTGTAAAGCTGGATATATCCATAAAAACAAATATATATTGCATTTATTCGGACTTTGTAGTATTTTTGTTTTTTGTCCTGCTCTAACAAGCTTTTCGAGAGCCATCTGGAACGAGATTTTTAATTTCCACCGGTCGAACTTTGCTTGTTTAATTTTATTTGTCTCGTCGAGTAATCCCGTTGATATTCGTTTATTTTTGCAGCTTTTAACTTTCCTCTTTTGCCTGACCCTTTCATCTTTCTGAAATTCCAATAATGTGTTGCAGACTTTGATGACTCTTAAAACCTCACTCGGGTTGATTGTATTACATTTTTAATTACTCTTTCATTCGATATATTACCGTGAATTTCATTTTAGGAAAGTGATGGGGAGAAAAGTGACCAGGACCTGGTTGTGGATGTAGCTAACGAGGTAAGTTTTTATTTAGATCAGATTGTAGATATCACCGTGAAATCTTCGTCCTGTACGCATTTTTCCAGTTAAATGTTAAATATGAATTTGGCTTTTTGCTGAGTGTTGGAAATTATTTTGATACTTATCTGAATTATCCGTTTGTCGAAGGAGGTTACATCGCCGCATACGAATGGAGACCATGTACCGTTAGGTAACCCAAACGACATCCGAGAAAATGGGAACTCAAGTAACGATAAGAACAAGTCTGACCGTCCACCCAGCCGCAGCGGATCGTCGTCATCGCGGAGTACCCCTTCGCTCAAAAGTAAAGATGTAAGGCTGGGCGTTTTAACACAAATAGAAAAATCATCGAACTCGATTTTTCTATTCTAAAATCTAAAAATTATTAGATTTAAGCACCTATAACATTCTATTTTTGATTACATTTTTCATGGCTAATGAAAAAGTATCTTCTACTTCGTGATACTATTTTAAGGTAAATTTGTATTTGAATATGTCATGGTGTCTAAACCCAACTATTAAATGTAAAAATCATAAGCAGAAAACATCGGCAATATAAGGACATATAAATCCTGCTCTTACTATAACTGTTCGTCCAGACTAATTGAATCAATCACTAATTTATATATTGCATTAGAAATATCAAAGCAGGTATATAAAGCTTCTTTTATAGAATAGTATTTAAGTAGAATATACCTTTTTATCAACCTTTAATACACTTACGTACTAACGTACTAGTACTTCACTTGCTATCAGAGACTTTAAAAGTTATTGCAGCCTTCTAATAATTGACGCATACATGTGAAGTATTTCCAATCAAATGCTTAGGAAAATATATGATTTGAAAATGATAGTACATTTTTCTATTTTAGAAATAATTTAAATTTGCTTCAAATGTTTCCATCCACAATATTTGTCACCAAAAATTGAAGTTGATACAGTGTTTAATAGGCTTATGTTAATGTAGATTAACATCTTTTATTTAAAAGTACACAATTAATAATTAAATGAGAAACTTGGAAACTAATTTTAGGGTCTTACTGTTCACGTGCATGCGCCAATTGATACTGCTAATTAAAAAAACAAATTCTCATTTTTTAGGCATATCTCGTTCAATCATGTAACTTATTCATTTTTAGTTGCATACGAAATATTAAGCTTTGAGTTCTATCACTACTTCACTAAATATAACCGATTGCTGATAAGTACAAGAATAATCGACGTTTTCTAGAGTAAGAGCCGAAAAATGGCATTGAACCATTAATATAAGCCCAATTTTCTATTCCCCTTCACATAAACTTACAATAAATTTTACAGACATTCTTCAATCGTCTTTCATACTTTTAAAACATGGAAACTTTTTTAAGACCCATTAATGTTTGGATCGAACCGTATAGTTAATTGATAACCCAGTCAAAATATTTTGCGCGGACTGATTTGATTGAGAAAGTGATCGATCGTGTCGGCAATCCTGTATTATGTTATATTGAAGTGGATGTGGTGATTTTCATAACACGAAACTTTATTGCTTTGCACAGATTGACAAAAGTAATTAATCACTTAACCGCTTTTTAGTTTGATTAAAATAATCAATGATCCACACACAAAAAAAAAATTAAGAAAACAAACACCTTTGCCTTGAGGGATTATTGATACAGTCCGAAGCAAATAATGTAATGTTAAATATGAAAAGAAACTAATAGACAACTGGAATGCAGCACTAATTTTTCTAAAAATAACATCAACACATCCGTGGAACATTTATTTGACTTGATTCTTAATCCGTTTATTTGTTGATGATATTTATGTAACATTTCAGGAAAAACCCCTGACGCCTGGTTCGAAACCTCGTTCAACGACGCCTAACCTTGTGTCAGGAAGTGGTCCAGCGGGCAGTTCAAAACCACTTCCCGGTGGTCCACTTGGGCCATATCCCAGCTATCCAGCCTTGGGAGCTCCAAGAACTCCAGACCATCAAATGTCTCCTTATGCGCAGCCGAATTCTTATGGGCGGCAGCCTCAACCGGTGAGTGGTTCCTATGACAGTGCGGTCCAACTCCGAAATTCATCAGCGAACGGTGTAGGAACTGCAGTTCCAGGAGGAAAACCGTAAGTTCATAATAATACTAAGTAAATCATTCTACCAAGAGCCTATAATATAATTTGGTTCTTCATTGTTCATCCAAACAAACATGTGAGTGAGTGATTGCTTTTAAGGGACTGCTGGAGTTAATTTTGATGGTAGGGAATAAGAGCTAAAACATGTTCACCGTATTTTTCAAATATATTGCAAGACTTGTTTAAACTTTGACAAAATATCAGTTTCTATGTTAGTAGTTCGTGTTTATGAAGTAACAACAAAAAAGCGTATTTGTGGTTACACCAACCACATATGTGAACCACAATTTTGTCGCTCGTGTGCTTGATCCCGTTCAGTCATTTGAGTTCGATACAGCACGACAATCGCTAGCAACTTTTAGACGCTGCGTCTTACCTTGAGAATGGAACAGGTTTACTGCTACTAGCGGCTGTCGCCCGCAGTCGCTAGTAGCAGCTACAAAAAGTCGCCAAGGCATGGGTTTGGTCATGCGTTCCGGCTAGAGACGCGGCAACTCGAGTGGCAGCTGTTGCGCTTCAACTAGTAGACGGACCAGTCGCAATTGCGATTTTGGGAAAATGGCTCGTTTTTTAGCGAATGAGGATGACAATTTAATTAACGCTCTCCAAAAATACCCGTCAATTTACGTATTCGAAAACGTATACCATTTTCATATCCGTTGAATGTTGAAATTGCTCCCATCTTTTTGGCACACCCTGTAGGAATTTTGAAAAAATTAATTTATTCTAAGAGACATATAAATGTATGACATATAAACATAGTGTACAGTTTTCTAAATAAAAAAACTTGAACTTATTTTACTTATTTACTTGTGAGTTAATATGATAAGCCTCCAGATCTTGCTTGAAAGTTGCTATTCTATTTTAAATGTTACGTTAGCTTAATGTTTTTCAGCCAACTTTTCTTTTGCACTTTCCGGAAATTTTGTGAAATTGGCTCCAGGTATTCCTGTGTCGTTTGCTATAAGTCAGGTATGGGCAACAACCGGCCCGCTGTAAGATATGACCGGCCCGCGAGACATTTTTGAAAAACCCAAAAGATTGATTTGTGCGTTTGGCAGTACTTGTAAATGCTAACAGTTCTTTTCATTGATGAAAGTTAATAAATCAACACATCGTACAATACTTACTGACGATAATTTGGAAAATTCTTTACGTCTTTGTGTGAGTGGAATTAATCCCAATTCCAAATCAAAATTA